CTCCCTGGGGCCCGTCGCAATCGCGCGTGGCCGTCTCAATCTCCTGCAAACCACGAGGCAGCTCTCCGCCCTAATTCTCCGATTGCGCGATGCCTTACGGCCGTCGAACAAGGGGGAACATCTGTCGCTATTTCGGCGCTGTGCCTGACACCCAAGGCGCATGGGACGGGGGCGATTGAGATTGAAGCGGAGTGACAGAGTGGATTGGACGTTGTGAAAGAGGCCATTGATAGCCTTATCACCAGGGGCGTCTGCTGCAACGACTCAGGAGCAGAACGTGTGATCAAAAGACCGAAACCTTCGTATTCAACACTCCAGCCAACAGCGAAAGAGCGCAAGTGGGCTTTTCGCCTCTTTCAACGACTCGGCCGTTGCTTTCCTCCCCGGTAGATCACGATGGGCATGAACAGGTGCATTAAAGGTCACAGTCGCCATGGCCAGCCGAAGACGCCCCCAGCCCTCTGCTTTTTTTGGGGTGGTCTCGGCAGCGATTGCATCGGCGGTCAAATCGGGTTTTCATCTCCGCTCCCGCCTACTTCTGAGTCGCTCTAAAATCCCAGGAAAGGCTTCCGCGGGTGCCACGCATCTGGGCACACGGCGCGCCGGCAACAGGCTGGTTCTGCCTTGGGAGGATTAGAGGTATTCAAGAAAAAGCAATGTTGCTTCTCGAATTTTTTCTTGCGTCGTTGCGAGGCGCAACGTCTATTTTTCTCCCGCCTTCCCATTCCCCCTTACTCTGTACTGAGGCGGGTAATCCGGCACTCTTCCAAGGTCGGGGTTGACGTTTGCACATCATCATTCTACTGTTCTCGCTGGGCTGCGAATAATAACGTAAGGGGAACGGGGACCAGGTTTAATATGTCAAGGCCTTTTGAATTTTGTGGTTTTATCTCCTGACATGCATTAGAGGGGGGCAAACGGGCTAGAATGCTCTCTGCGCTGGCTGGATTGGGACCGGATTGGGACCGGATTGCAACGCATCGTCGCGATGTCCGACTCGTGTTGCCGTCCCACCGCCTGTGCTTTGCTCCGGGGCTGGCTGGCTGGCCTTTTTAAACAATTTCACCACGTCAAATGCCATGTCGGTCTGGAGGATAGGCGAGATGACGGAATGCCTATTTGGGGACACCCCTGGGAAGGGAAAGAGCGGATGCTGCCGAGATTTGCATGTGCGAGGTCCCAGGGGGTTGGAATGGTCCGGGGCGGTGGGTTGGGTAGGACACATCACGCTTTGAATGTTTGGAGATGCGGTCTGAGGGGGAAAGTTGATGTATTGATTTAGGATTGGTACACTGAGAGAGTTGACGAGTTGTGTGATGTATGAGGTTGGGTGGTGAGGTTGCTTGACTCGGTAGCTGGTGCTCGGAATTGCGCTGATGGCAAGAGTTGTGCGATGATGGCGAGCTGAGCACGATGCCGTCACTCGAAAGCATGTATGATAATATAGTGACCGAAATGGTGATATATGGCGAGACCGATGGATTTTGGTGCTGGGAAGGCCAAATGACTGCTTTGCCGGACAATGCTCACAAAGGAGTTCTTCAGAGCTCTTCTCCTCCGGATTGTCTTCTGCTCTTCTCAGGAAGCTGCCTCCGTCCCTCGTTGCCTTCTTGTCATATCTCTCGCAACCTCGTTATCGGTCATCTCTGTCGCTGCTCGTGTATTTGAACTTTCCAAAGGCAATAAGGTCGTTGATTTGTTAGTGGTATGTTCATGTACACAGCACTCCTCCCCCCCTGCCTCGATTATCATACAGCTGAGGTTAAGAGGTCGTTGACGCCGGGAGTGGACAAGCATTCTTGTCTGCCTCTTGCCTCGAGATCTGATACCAGGTACATTGGTTATATAGGTCTTTGGGAAACTGGTAAAGGGGGGCTCTGGGTTCTGGTCCGACTTGAGAGAGGTTTAAAGATGTCCATATGATAGAAGACAATGCTGAGAGGGCAATGGGAGCTGTGAAGATTTAGGACTTGGACTTGGAAGGGGCTCATTCATGTGATGTGAAGGATGGAAATTGTGTCGTGCGGTATACCACGCTGGTAGAAGGGGGTTGTTTATTTGGTGTTCATGTATTCTCTACTCATATGTCAACGACGATGGGGGAGGAAAGCGGCAATGGGGTCTTTTCCTTATGTTCTCTTCGAGTTTTCTGTTCATATGGGCACATTGAGCACGAGAGACTTTGATGTTTTGAAAATCACGGCTGAGAATATGCTGGCCTATGTCATGGCCTTGGCATTGAATCATCAGACGAGTAGGATCCGATGACTCTTTAAGTACGCGAAACCAGCGCCGCGTATCCGCTGTCAGCTACCACTTGTAAGAGACTCTGCTTATTTGATACGGGTATAAGACACAAGACCTGATTCTCGTAACTATTGATGGGAGAGAAAGACGCTCTTACTCTTAACCTGGAGACCCCTCCCCAACTATGCAAGCCCAACTGAGTCACCTTGCGCGAATACAATGTACCAGTGCAAGCCAACATGGATAGGCGAGCTCTAAGAATTACGCAATATCTCATATAAGTGCGTCGTCGTGGAATGACGATGTGTTCCCACGGCAGAACAATCAACAGGCACGGTAACCATAGCGATCATGATCCCTTAGATGGAGAAGTTGAGCCTGTCGCGCAACGTAATGTTATCCAACCATAGACAAGTCTGCTTTACCGTATTGAAACACCGCCGTTAGTGTACGTGCGGTATTCATGAAGAATAGTCTGATGAGAACTGTGGACGCTGGCATGCTGTGGACGCGGCGGTTGAGAGAGACTGTGTGTACTGACCGCAGTACGCTGGCGGAAGTTTGGCAGACGCCTCGTGTCTCTTGCACATCTTCCTAATTGATACTCAAACAATTAATTGGCTGCCTCGTTTGCTTTATCGAGGAACTTGAAACATAGATATATATACTGATCGGGGCCCTCTGCTCCTGTCAGGTGTCGTTTCAGTTTTCGTCCTGTGTTTTCCCTGACACTTGGTAGAATTACGTACAGAGACTCTAGCCATTGATGCCGCTTTAAATATCAGAGCTTGTCACCTAGCATTACTCGGTACGCAATGATCGATTCTTCAATGTCTTTTTGGTCTGGATTTTGAAGCAATGTCGCGGGAGATGTCTCTTGTTGGAGTTTAACACGCTCTCTCAAGCCAATACTGCGCAGGTAGTTACCGTCGGGAATCACATCTGCGAGGAAGGAATAAGAGGATGAGAGGTAGCAGACATGACTAACGATAGGGTTTCACTGTCAGCATAGGCTTTGCGGCGAGGCATTCTGGACATTGGGTCCCCGTTCGGATGGCACCACCCAGCTCCTGCCCAGAAGATGTGGTTTCAGCTAAAAGCTTTGGATATCACCACCAACAACGGAATTTTTGGGTGGTGGTTGAGAAATAGGTGGTCTGGGAAGGGTTTCCTTAAACAGAGGCGTACACAATTGTCTCGTCAAAGCAGAAAAAGGCTTATGCCACCCTTTGCAGAGACGGCTCTGCGCCGAGTTGAAATAAAGGTCTAGGTCTGAACTTGGCTAGTAGCAGAGGCCCATTGTGACCGCACTGTCAGGCCTCTCGAACCTGCAGCTGCATCAGCTAGAGAAGGAAATGCACTCTCGAAGCTGGCTCAAGATGGGCTTTGGCGACTCGTACTCATATCCTGTTGCTCCCCTACCTGCTGATTGTTGAAACCATGTGGACACAGCTGCCCCCGTAAGTGTTAGAAGTTAGCCCATACCACAGAAGAATTATTCCGTGAACAAGTGGAGGGTTGTCTCCATATTTGTCGAAGAAAAACACAATGACTTGTTGGTGTCAACCTGCGTGAGTTCCTGAGAGGAAACCCCAGACGAGCCCCTATCTCGAACCATCATATCTCCTCATGTCTAAGCGCTGACTGGAGTGGTTGTCGTCCTCATATTATTCGCGCTGGAAAAAACGCAGGCGATGAGATGATGTTGTTGAGGAATTGCAAAAAAAGGGGAGTAGCGTCGAAACTTTCCAGTGAACTTTCCAAATGCTTTGTTCCATAGCGTATTAACTCAAGGCATGGGAGAAGACATGATTGTGTATGTTACCAACAACTCCTCTTACATAGCCTTGCATTTATAGCCTTGAGGTAGAGGTAATGCTAATGTAGAACAGTCCCAGACTTTGTGCACAGACGCAATGCGCCCCTGGTCACAAATGTACTTAAACCAGAGGTATCTTTCTTCGATGGAGAGTTCCATCAGCGCAAAAAAATGCACTGTTTGCATGATATTCTTTGAACAAATGACGCTCTCGTTTCTTACCGCAACCCCTGGGGCCAGTTTCAAGCTCGCTAGACTGAGACGGAGACAGCAAGGGAGCTGTTTACTATACCACCTTCGCTTGATCCTTCTCACTGTCTACTATTTATTCTGCGTCAGGTCTTCTTGTGTTTATCAAAGTATTGAAGAGGGACGAAGCAGCGACGAGGAATAGGATAAAGGAAAGGAACCCAAGAGAGTTATGTAACCACTGGACCCAAGATGAGCTTGCCCTCTCGCCTGAAAATCTAAGAACAGCGCCCAGCATTTGGTTCCTCCATCATGAGATAGTGGCAGCTTATTTTAAATACATGTTTCGGTAGTAACAGCGGTATGATCTAAGATGAAGAGCTCACCATCGTCTGAGTTGTTGCAGACAACGCCCCTAAGACGAATGATTAGTGGGCTCTTGGCGCCTGGGAGCCAATGCGACGAGGGACGTCGAACCGTACTGCTGATGAATTTCAGCGTATTTACTCTCTTACGGAGCATCCCATTTCTCTCTCGTAATAGCGAATTCCTGGTAAAACGGTTATGCGGATACATATACATCTGGGCTATAGAGCGAGAAATCTAGTTGTGTTTAGAAAAGCAAATCATGAACAATGCAAAACCTGACATGCCCGCCCGTCAAGGACAACTCCGATGGTGTACGCCGTAACAAACAGCAGACGTCACATAATCTTACGGCATGACAAGATTGAAACGACCACCTCTATCCGTTCTGATGTGCCGAGCCCATCATGGCGGCGCCCCAATCCCCAACGCCGTCCATCCAAGAAAAGGGGCCCAGATTGTCAAAGGCACCCGCCATGGGATTCCCGCCGCCCCAGCTGTCTTCAAAGATACCCAGGTCCCTCTCAGACCCCACAAACGGCACAGCAGTCTTCTCAACAGCCGCACCGTCAATGACGCCTTGCATATCATCCTGGCCCACCTCAGCCGCGACACCTTCATACACCCCTTCTTCCTCCTCCTCCTCTTCCCCGCCCGACTCGTCGTCGTCCTCCTCCTCGGCCACCATCGCCGCCCACTGCTCAATCTTCAACTGCGCGATGCGCAACTTTGCGGCCGTGAGGGACCAGATGTTATGTCCCACCCCGGGCGGATCCTCGCTGTGCACCGCGAGCGACGCGGCCGCCTGCTCCATGGCGCTGCCCATCTGGCCGAGGATGCCGGGCACGTCAAGGCTGAGCGCGGGCTGCGTCGCGAGCTGGATCTTGAGGGTGGCGATGGCCTGGGCGAGCTGGCTCTCCGTGGAGGCCGCTGAGGACAGCGAGGAGGTGCCCGTCAGCGTCGAGCTCGTGGTGCCCGGCGTGGTGGCGGAGTCGAGCGGCGAGGGGTTGTTGTAGTTGCCCGACGGGTCCTGGGGCGGGTCCGGGGCAGGGGCGGATGCGGAGGCGCGCGGGCGGCGCAGGTCGCCGATGAGGAGGAGCTTGGCCCAGCGGCCGAGGATGGTGATGGCGTGGATGACGTTGAGGGAGACGGGGAGGGTGATGTAGGGGTAGGAGGGGATGGGCTGGCTGAGCCACTCATCGAACCAGGCGCGGAGGGCGGCGTTGGATTGGTAGAAGGAGTCGAGCGGGGAGGGCGTGCCCGCGGCGATGGAGGACTTGGAGAGGGAGGAGAGGAGGGCGGCGTCCAGTTTTGGGGGCTCGTGGATGCGGAGGCGGACGGTGTTTATGGTCAGACGCATGAGTTCTGTTTGTTTCGTTAGAGAAGTTGAGAAAGGCACACTTCAAGGGGCTGCGGGATGGAACGTACTGTCTTCTTGTAATCTTAGCGGCATGCTCTTGATGAGGTTGTTTAGCTCTGCATCAAAGGCGGAGGCGTATGCCGCAAAGGGGGCTCTGTGTACTATTTCAGGTTCCTCTTCATCTTCGTCGTCGCGTTGGGATAGGCTTATGATCTTGCTGGAGAGGATCTGTATCCTGATGAGGTAGGCTAGATACGTGTCCGAGTCGTATTCCTGTGTCATCTCGAGCTCGCGTAGACATCGCCGCATGTATGGCGTGAACTTCATAGCCTCAATCTGCACCATGCCGATGGATATCCTGCAGACAGGTCAGCAACACACGATAAAACGAACAGAAGACCAGGGGGTCGTAGACTTACGTGGAGCTCAAGTACCACACCGCAAGCAGCAACCTCTTCTGCTCGCTTGTCCTCTCCCTCACCTCCCCGAGGTTCTCGACCAGCAGCTTTGTGCGCTCCTGGTACCCCGGGCTGCGCGTGAGCCCCAGCTCAGCCGCCTGCGTGACGGCGAGCGCGACGAGGTTCTGCATCTGGGCGTGGACGAAGCAGTGGTGGTGATGCCAGCCGAGCATGACGACGAGCCCGGCGAGGAGGTCGAGCGAGCGCTCGGAGCGGAGGATCATGGCGTCGGCGACGTGGGCCTTGAGCCGGTACATCTGGCCCTGCATGGAGCGCAGGCTGCGGAAGGAGGCGACCATGCGGATGCAGGACATAGTGAAGGGCCGGGTCGCGGCCAGGTCGGCCGGGGCAGTGCCGTGGGGGATCACGACGAAGGGGTACGCCGGGGTAAGGGAGTCTTGGTAGATGGAGAGGAGGGTCGCGTCCGAGTCGAGCGGGCCCGGGACCTGGCCGGGCGGCGGGCGACAGATGCATGTTGAAGGCCCGAAGGAGTTGTAGGAGGGGGGGATGGTGATGTAGGTGCTCCTGGATGGGGTGCTTGCGTACGTTTCTGGGGACCTTCCTGATGTGGTGGCTTGTGATGCTGGCGAGGTCTGTTGTGTGTTAGTTGGATGATTTGGTTGATTGTTGAAGAGTGGGTGACTTACTTCATCGATAGACAGTCGATTGGTTGTTGCGGTGATGTCGTTGGACCCCTGCAATGCTCTGATGAGACTGTTTAGACGTTCTTCTAGTTGTGCCGTTTTTCTTGTGACCGATGTTAGCCGAGCCTTCAGACCATGATAATATCTTGATGCAACTCAAGATTGATATAAAAAACATGAAGAAGATGGACAGGGAAGACAAGGGGGTGTACTCACGATGGCTTATTCTCTCTCCTCTTGCGCGGTCCCCGTATCTTCTCAGTGCACTCCTTACCCAGCCTTCGACACCTTTGAACCGACATATTGAGCCATGTACACAAAAACAACAAAGTAGGATGCACAACATGACGTACCTCTCACACTTGGGATCCGTCGAGCCAGCCGGGCGGAGGCACTTTGCTTTGGCTACCGCACACTGGGCACACGCCGCACCCCATTTTGCAGGGGGCTCGGGACGGTGAGGGCGGCTGATGGATGGCGGCGGCGGCACGGCGTTTGTAGGCGTTGTCCAAGACAACGACATTGCTACCGTGGTGCGCAAATGAAAATGAGGGGTTTTTGGCTCTTTCTCTCGAGAACTAAACCAGGTTCCTTCCTCCTGAGCTACAATCTTGGTTTGCAGTGGATCGGGGTTGCTTTGCTTTGCTTGCGAACGGCGGGCAGGAGCGGCGTTTACAAAGTTGCCTGTCGATCATGAAAAAGGAAAGGCGGGCCGGCGTTTATATACAGGGCTTTACAAAGGTCCGAGCACGGAGAGAGCAGCAGCAGTAGGTAGCTGTCTTCAAACCTACGCCTCAGCATTGTCTTTCATAAAGAAGGGCACGTTTGCCCCCTCCTCGAATATGATGACCCTACTGAAGATCCCTAGACGTTACTGAAACTCTAAAACACAAAAGAAGGTAAGTCGTTAATGGGGACTCGTCAGGATAAGAGGCATTGTTGAGTTTGGATTCATGGATCTTGAGTCTTGGTTAGTAACCAGCCCGCTGCGGGTGGGCGGTTGTCCGGAGTTTACTGTAATTCTCCGCCCCGATCGCTGGCTGCCGATTGGGGCCCTTGCGGGCGGCACGCTGAGCTGATGCTTGCACTTGGCTGCTGGAACGCTAACACGGTAAAAACGGATACCTGTCGACCCAATTTCATACTCGAGCATTAGATGGACACAAAGAACAAACGAATCAACGCTGTTCCCGCCAGCTTAAATTTGGCCTTGACTCTGTTGCCTTCAATGCATCGCCCCTCTGAGTCCGTCGCCTCCGGTGGCCGCCCCACACGATCCCGGCGTTCATGCCGGCGCTCCTACCGGCCGTCCGGGCTGACATCTACTTGAAGCCTGCCACGCGTCTTCCAGTGTCATTCATCTTTCCTCGTGACAATAGTTTGGTTCAATGCTAAGTGAATGAGAGAAATAGATTCATAAAGATTCATTAGTCGGGTTCTTGTTGGTTTTAGTAAAGGATTCGAAGTTGACGGACGCTCTATCTGTATAGTTTAATAACCTAGTCTACACTCCTCAGACCAAAGTAGCTAATGAACATGAGAGCTGCAAATAAAATATAACCAATGTTACTGTTGCCTGTCTATGATTTAGAAAGTGCCTATGCAGAGAACTATACAATTATGAAACCGGGTCCAACTCAAATTCGAAGCTCCTTCTGAATTGGAACTTGTACACCCTGCCCCTCAAAAACCTCATCACCAACATCATAAGTCAACATCTTCTGCCCCATGCCCAACTTGCTTAACCCAGCCGTATTATACACCCATAACCCGCCCGACAGAACCATCTCGTTCAACCTCAACCGCCACGGCTCCTTCTTCTTGCGGATCTGGCCCCTGCTCTCCGTCGTCTTGAGCATCTGCTCCGTCCGCACTTTCCTCTTCTGCTCAAACTGCCGCAGCCCATCCTCGATCAACGTACCCGGACAGCTGCCCAGCATCTTGGAGAACAGGAAAATGTCCTCCAGCGCCATGGACACGCCCTGGCTCGCGTGCGGCGGCATCGCGTGCGCCGCGTCCCCGATGATCAGGCACCGCCCGCGCGACCACGGCCGGCCCGTGGGCACCTTGTAGATCGGGTAGAACTTGACCACCTCCGTCTTGCGGATGATGTCGCGCACCGTCCGTGGCCACTCGGCGTCGGAGTCGCCCAGCAGCCCGAGCAGCGTCGCCTTGAACCCCTCGACCTCCTTCTTGCCGCGTGTCTCCCAGCCGTCGCGCACGTCGCCGAACGAGGGGAGCGGCACCTCGCGCGAGAAGAACCAGTACAGCACGTCGCGCGCGGACGTCGTGGGCGTGATGGCGAGGAGGCCGTCTGAGGTGAGCGTGGCGTTGAGGTCCGTCATGGAGGCCGCGGCGGGGGAGAGGGAGGCGGTCGGGAGGAGGGAGAAGACGTTGGAGATGCCGGTGTACTCGGGCGTGCACTCCGGGTCGACGTAGAGCTTGCGCACGCTGGAGTGGATGCCGTCGCAGCCGATGAGGAAGTCCGACGTGTCTGAGGTGCCGTCGTCGAAGGAGGCCGTCACGCGCTGGTCGTGCTCCTGGATCCTGGTCAGGTACTTGCTGTAGTGGACCTGGATGCCTGCGGCGTCTGCGGCTTTGAGGAAGACGTCCATGATGTCGGTTCGGCGGACGCGGAGGTAGCTGAAGCCGGTGCGCTCCTGGCTCCACGAGACCATGTCCATCTTGCCGAGGACGCCGCCTTTGGAGGAGTGGAGGAAGGTGCTGGCGGTCTCGGCGCCCTTTGCTGCCACCTGGTCGTAGAGACCGAGGCGGTCGAGCAGGCGGAGGCCGTTGGAGGGGATGCCGATTGCGCCGCCGAGGGTGCTTGGCTGTGGGCGGATTTCGTAGACTGTGCATTTGATATGGTGGTCTCGTTGGAGGAGGAGGGCTGTTGCGAGGCCTGCTGGGCCGGCGCCGATGATGGTAACCTGGAAGTGACGTGATAAGCAACTCTGAAGTATGGCTTGTGGGTTGAGATATGCCTGCATACCTTTTTGATAGACTCCATCGCAAGGGCTTGTCTGATTGAGGGATTGAAAATGATCTTGCTTGACATTTGTCTTTGTTGGGGATGCTACTTGTCTTGAAAGGGAATCTCTTGCTGGAGGTCGCAAAGGTACATCTTATAGCATCATCTTCGAAACAAGAGGCCTCGTGATGTGTGAAATCGGCCATCTGAACCGCCGCTTACACGGCGTGTCGGCGTCTCAAAGAGGCAACTTCCACTCCCGCCCAAGCCACCGTCTCACCGAGTAGGTCGGCGGTCCGCGTCGCCGGTGGAATCGGCACGGCATCCAACTTGTCACCTACACCGACATTACTTCTTCACTCATCCAAAGCCCCAACAAGGCCTCCCTCGCATTCGCAGCATGAGACGGGATGGGCACGGCGAGTGATCGGGCCCTTGGACCCACTTCCGCGGCCGGCCGGTCGGAGCTTAGTGGGGGTGGGGCCATCTGGCAGGTGTCGTTTCGCCGTCGGCGATTTCGCTATTCTCCGGCTTCGCCGATCCCTCCAAGACTCTCGCACTTCGACACAATCAGGGGGAATACTCAAAAATCAAACTTTGCCAACCACGGCCGTGATAACCGAGCGCTAATCACAAAATCTACAACTCCTCACTAGAGGCCACACGATCCACCTCGTCAGACAGCTTCACCCGCTTCACCCGCTGACTCGTCGACCCCCTGGGCTCAATAACATGCTTCGTCCGAACCCCATCCCCGTCCACGACCATGACCTCGCTCTTCCCCTTCCACCCTTTCTCCTCCACATCAACCATGCGCAACATCCCCTCGTCACCCTCATGCGCCATCCTCAACAACGCAGGCCTTCCGCCATCCTCCTGCCCAAAAACATCCTCCCACAACCCCCTCGGCTGCCCCGGATCGCACACCCGGTTCGACCCCGGCGCCCAGCGCATCTGGCCCGGCATGCGGTGCGCGCCCAGCACGTCGCGCCGGTCCTCGCCCAGCCACAGCGCCCTGAGGCTCGGCGTCGCCTGCACGTAGCAGCACTTCACCGGCAGTAACCCCGACAGCCGGCCGTAGTCCCTGCCCTCGGCCTCGTCGATGATGGCCGTCGCGCTCTGCAGCCACGTCGTCTCCCCGTCCATGGTTACCGCGCACGCGTCCTGCGGGCCCCGCGGCGCGGAGAACTTGGTGCTGCTCGTGCTCGCGGGCTTCACCATGACGGGCACGATGCCGCCGAGCGCTTTCTCTTCGGCAGGCCAGACGGGGGATGTGGCGGAGACGAGCGGCTCGCAGGTGAGTGTGTCCGCGACGGAGACCTGCATCTCGTAAAGCCAGGTGCGCAGCAGGTCGGGCCCGGCGGTCTCGACGCTGATGCAGGAGACGGCGGCGTAGGACTTGCGCTCGATGCCGAGGGCGGCGGCGTCGCGGGTGTGCAGCATCGGCAGCGTGGCGCCGGTGTCGAGGAGCATGCGGAAGTGCAGCGTCGCCTCTGCGGGGTCGGGCGTCATGTGCGGGTGCCGCGAGGGCCGGCACCGGCGGAGGGTTGATGGAGGGAGCGGGTTTGGATTGGGCTTTTGCCGGGGGAGAGGGTTGGCGGGGTCGAGGGGGCTTTCCTCTTTCTCGACGGGGGACGTGGGGACGGGCCATCTCACCTCTTGAGACTGGCCGCGCCGCCGCTTGCGGGAGGGAGGGCCGGGGTGGTAGACGAGGTTGCGCATGCGGCGGAAGGACATGGTCACGCTGTAGTGGCCCATGTCGTATGTAGTGTCCGTCTCGGGAACCCAGGTGCCGCGGCTGGCGGAGAAGAGAGGGGCAGCGGCGCGGGCGAGGGGCGGTTCGAACCAGAGCCAGCCCTCGCCGTGCATGCGCGCGTAGCGGTCGAGGCGCTCGGCGCGGTCGGCGGTGAAGGAGGTATATGTCGGAGCGAAGTCGACGAGGTGGCCGGCGTAGATGATGGCCCAGTTGGAGGAGTAGGGGATGCGGGAGGTGCGGTAGAGGGAGATTGCCGCTGATATGTTGGCATGTTCGGGGGGAAAGGTAGACTCTTCCAAGGCGGCCTCGAGGGTCTGGATGCGAGATGCGATGGTGGTCTGTTTGTGGTCTTGGAGGGATTTGAGGGGCGTTTCCACGTCCTCAGTGACGGAGGACTGGAGTGCGGCGAGTTGGGTGCGGGCTTGAGTTAGGGATTCGAGGACGGAGGGCGCGCCGGCAGGGGTTGACGAGAGGGTTTGGCTGTAGATTGCTTCCCATTGAGTGACCAGACGTGATGCCGCTTCGATCGCCGTGAGATTCTTGCCTAGGGGCGCGCCGATGACGAGGGATGGCGCATCAGATGGGGTCGAAGTTGACGTCCGGAGGCGTCGGCGCCAACTGGCTTCGATGTCCTGCGTTTCTTGCTCGATGCGGGCTTGCTCTATGAGTTGGAGCTCGTTCTCTTTGGCCGCATCGTAGTCCAGCGTTGGAGAATTGCCATCGCTGGCAGAACTGTCGTCGTCGTCTTGTGTTCGACCTGCGACATCAGCTTCAGCTTCTTGACTTGAGTGCTGAAGCAAGTCATGGGTCTCATTCGGATCCTCGAAACGAGCACTGCGCTCGCTCTCTGAGTCGTCGACAGGCATCGCTCCGCCGTTATGGTTCTCGCACGATGTCAATGTCTGAAGCCTAGATGGCAAAGGTGCATCAGCAAGCCGAACACCTTTCTTCTGGAGTCATCCTTATCCGTAGATGTATCTGTTCTAAGAGGTCTAAACCGCCTTTGTATCTTGAATCGCGATCCATCGCAGATAAGACTGCAAGAGCTCAACCGCAAAGCTGCGACCGCCACCCATCGCAGAATCCAGCTCCAAACCACCTCCCTCCATCCGCGACAACAAAGCACAACCGTTGCGCTCAATGTAAACGGCTTCGACAAAGAGACGCACCGAAATTAGAAGCTCGGAGCTCAAAGCTCAAAGACTATCCCGAAAGCGGCAATCAGCTTGCCCTGCTTTGCCCCGGCAAACACATTGTCCGCATTGGCCGTTTATCCCTTTTCTCAGCCTCTCCCATTGGACCCTTTGTCACAACCCATGTCGTAAATGCCCGTGGTGAAGCTTTCTTCGGATATGTGTGACACCTCAGTATGAATGTCTCAATGAAAATCTCAGTCTTATTCTTTCGGGCTCCTTTGGGATGGTTATCTTCCTTGGTCTTCTTTCGGCCGCCATGAAGGTCTTTTCAAAACGGCCATGTCTCGCATCTCGGAAAGACGATTGTGAGAATTTCTCCTTCATCTTTGTCTTTCACTCTCCTCAGTTCTCTTTTGTGAAAGAAAGGCGTTGAGTTGCTTTTCCGTACTCTCTGTGTGTTTCATCCCCAGAGAGATGATTCTGGTTCTGAGCCACTTGGTCCTCTTATTGATATCACCTTTCCGCCGCGGCCTGAGCTTCCCCCTTTCCTCCCGGCCCGTCACATCGGACCTGTCACTTGACATCTTTGCTCTTGGAGAGTTGGCAGAGTGCCGCAGCGAGCGCCGCAACACACCGCCGTCATGGCTCAAGAAAGGATGCGTATGTCTTCTCAAACCGCGACACCCCTCCCGAAACTGAGAACCAAATCTCTGACTGGCAGACAACAGCCGAGCTGACCGAGCTCATCCGCAAAATCTACTACCGCTTCCCCTCCGAGACGTGGGAGCGCACCCGCACCCTGCTCGACCACCACCCGCCGCACCACCTCTTCGCGCACGTCGAGGACCTCATCGCCACGCGCGCCGTCGACCACGTCCTGCGCTCCGACGCCGCCTTCCACCGCCTCGCGGCCGATTTCTACGGCCCACGGCACCCCTGGCTGCGCGACGCGGATCTCGGCCAGGCGCGCTGGGATGAGTACGGCGAGTTCACGGCCCGCAGCGCCGCGGCCGAGGTGCAGGCGCAGACGCAGACGCATGACCAGGCCGCGGCGAGGAGGGCGCTGTTGCTGCGCAAGATTAGAGAGGGCGGGGATGTGGAGCGCTGGCGGCGGGTGCTCGGGCTCGAGGATGCTGTGTTTTCTGAACAGGAGATCCGCGGGAACGGCACGGAAGGGCCTGCCTTCGGGAGGGGCGAGGTAAGAGTCGCTAGGGGTGTGGAGGTCAGCGCGTGTATTGACGGGCTCGGGGGCGAGTATGGCCCGGAGACGTGGGTGCGCGCGGAGGAGGAGGAGAGGGTTGCGCATGTGGGCGTGCCGAGGGCGCCTGGCGATGGCGGGGAGGCGCCGCGGAACCCGTTCACGACAGAGTGGGTGCCGAGGGCGACGCCGGGCGGGGAGAAGTTTCCGGAGACGTTTGATCCGTTGTATACCAGCAACCAGTTCATCCGGCGGTCGAAGAAGTACGAGCATCCGAAGATGCCGGTGCAGGATGAGGACGAGGAGATGGCTGGGGAGGAGGATCCCGAAGCGATGGCGGCGCAGGCGGGTGTCACGACTTTTACGAAGCTGAGGAGGGGGGATTCTTCGACCGTGACGCAGAATTTGCCCCTTCCGGTATGTGCAACTCTTCGGTGGTGTTTGTGATGATGCTGACCAGGTCTCAGGGGCAACCTCCAAGGAGTGGCACGCAGACTAACACCGGCGACGTGGGTAACATCCAGCTCTTCGGCGGACACACCGTCCCGTCGTCGCCAGCGAGGCCACTTATACCGGGCTTCACCATCAGCACCAGAACAGATAACCCGCAGACATCCCAGCCGGTGACGCACCCGTCCATCGTCGTCACCGACACATCCTCCACAGGCCACACCGTGCCCCTCTTCGGACGCATATCAACCACCACAGAGCAGACCGAGGCCCCTCTACCAGAAACACCACGCATCCACACCCCTTGGCGCCAGGAACTTCCCCCTTCCCCCATCCCAGAAGACGAGCTCCCGTCCCCCGCCGAGGAGGTCGAAATGGCTGACTCCGACTCCGACGCCGTCTCCATCGTCTCCTCCATCGACCCAGCCTCCACAACCTGGCTCGAGGACTTCCTCCGCGCCGAGCCCGGCGTGCCCGCCTCCGACCTCGAGATGATGACCTACCGCGGCTGGCGCATCCACTCCCCGCGCATCCAGCTCATCCGCATCAAGAACTTCCTCGCCGACGAGGACGTCGACCGCACCATCGGCTGGGCCGCCAAGTTCGCCGAGGTCGTCCTCTTCCTGCAGCACTGCATGCGCCTGCCCGACGCAGCACACAAGAGCTGGTGGGACGACCTCCGCGAGGCCATCAAGATGGCGCACACGCACCAGCTCTTCGAGCAGCACCACTACGGCGCGCAGCGGCTCGTCGTTGACTTCCCCGAGATGAGCGCCGCCAGCACGCGATTGCCGCAGGTCCAGGGCGGGCGAGGCGTCGTCGTCGAGGAACCCCCGCAGGAGCCGGTGCGCCCGCGCTATCTCCTCCACCGCGTGCCTGAGTCGTTGCATGATGTGGATTACCAGATCCCCGCGCCGCTGCTGCGCAACACGTTCCTGACGTGGTTCCGCGAGGACGGCAACCTGGTGTGGATGAGCACCGGCAACGGCAACCCCGGCTCCGGGGACCGCGGGAAGAGGTTCGGGTACGAGCCCGACTTCAACATGGCGCTGACCGAGGACGCGTGGTTCGGGAAGTGCCTCGCCGGCGGCGCGGAGACGACGGCCGCGAGTCTCCGCGGTGAGGCGAACTTTTACATCCTGTCTGACGAGCATGTGCCTGGCGAGGTGGAGGAGGTGACCGTCAACGGCACCACGCATAAAGTCACCCCGCTGTTCCCCGAGGGCGAGACGCAGCAGCGCTTCGCGCGGTACCGCGGCGCGAAGCGCGCGGCGCTGCAGCTGTGCCTGACGCACTTTGACGGCGTCGAGAACGTGGCGATCCAGGGGCCGTTCCGCAAGCTCGTGATGCCGCTCACGAAGCGGCAGAAGGCGGCGGCAAGGGAGGCCGCGGGCGAGGGGATCGTGTACAAGCCGCACGCGCTCGAGGCGCCGCCTGAGGGGGCCAAGGTCGACCCGCTGGGGCTGACGTTCTGGCACCAGAAGATGCGGGAGAGCCACTACACGAGAGCGAGGGCGACGCGGGACCAGACGGAGGAGGCGCACCGGCGGTTTCTGCGGGAGATTGGCGCCGGCGGGGAGGGGGATGATATCGTGCTCCCGCCGCGGAACTACCTCGGCCCGCTGACGGGGATGAGCTACCTCACCGAGGGGGAAACGGAGAAGCTCGAGAGGATGAAGATGCTGAACGGGCTGCGGGATAACCTGCAGCGGGCGTACAACCGGGCGCCGCGGGAGATGCTGCAGGGGGTGCTGAAGAATATTGAGTTCGGGTTCGCCGGGGGCGAGTCGTGGGACGTCCGGGACGAGCTGCGCGAGCATAGACAGAGGCACGGCAAGTATCTCCGGCTGAACGGCGCGGAGCTGTTCTGGATGGAGTGGATGTGCGAGCCGTCGACGAACGTGAGGGCGCAGCGGGGCGGGGGGCTGCCGGCGCTGGGGAGGGAGTTTGAGGTGTTTGTGGAGAGGATGGAGGGGTTGCTTGGGGATATGGACATGGGGAGTCTGCTTGCGAAGGCGGAGGACAAGGTCGACGTGGGACGCGTGACGGAGGCGTTGAATGTGGGCTTGAGGGAGGGCGATTATGAGTTGAAGGAGGATGTTGTTGGGAGGTTTTGCAAGGTGCTTTCCGAGCATGGACGCCTTGGGTGAGTCTCCCCCCCTTGATATCATCACCTCATCACTGACACCCCGCAGATACGAAGCCGACAACGGAATCGTCACCATCTCTCGGCCGCACTGCGACTGGCACCCGGAGCACCGCGTCTACTGGCCCACGGGCTCCGACCCCTGGGACCCGCAGAACAACGTCTTCCACCGGACCAACCTGCCGGACCCCAACGCCCGCTGGAGCTGGCAAACCGCCTTCGACAATATCAAGCTCGTCGACGCAACCCGGCGCGTGACCAAGACCATGCTCTGGGCGCTCGCGTACCGCGTCGGCGTCGAGCTCGACGGCCTCGTGCGCGACCTGCGCCAGGTCCGCGACCAGCTGCGCGACGCCGCGGCGTGGGACCGCCGCACGGTTGGGCTGCAGGACGTTGCGGGCCAGTGGCGCAACCACTTTGAGCGGCACGGGAGGGTGGAGGAGGACGGGCTGGGCCCGCCGGTGTCGTATGTTAGCGTGGTGCGGGCGGGCGACCCGGCAAAGTGGGAGCCGGGCATGACGGAGCCGGAGGCGTATGAGGTCGTGCGGAGGGGGATTATTGATGAGTTGTCCGAGGGGAAGAGCACGCTGTGGCCGTCGCGTCCGCGGTTCTCGAAGAAGTTAAAGGTGGAAAAGGAGGTGGAGGTCGCGACGCTGCACAGGGACCGGGTGTGGGACTGGGCGGCGCCCGAGGTCGCGGGGCGGAAGGGGCGGTTTTTCTCGGTGAACCGGTGGCCGGTACATTGGCAGAGCGAGAGGACGCAGGAGAAGATCAGGAACAGCAAGGAGGAGGCGGAGAGGGCGCGGGAGAAGGAGCAGGATGCCATCAGGGAGAGGTTAGCGAGGCTCGAGAAGGAGAGCCGGCCGACGGAGGCGGAGCTGCGGCAGCGGGAGATTGACAGGATGCTCTGTGTGCCGTACCACGAGGGAGACGACCGCACGGAGTTCTTCCCCTCGGCGGAGTACTGGGGCGGCGACACGCGGTTGCAGAGGAGGGCTGTGGAGGCGCATGTGAGGGGGTTGATTGCCGGTAAGTCTGCTTCGTTACGTCGGTGACATGCTTGGATGCTGATGGGTTATGCAGAGGAGATGGGTCCGAATGATGGAAGAGCGCCTCGCGTACAAGCCCAGCAAGGCTCGGGAATTGCGTCCTTGAGCAGGATCAGCTTGCCGGAGGTTAACTCGCCAGACGTACCGCACAGCGTGCCTTGTTTCCTGGCGAGGGGCTGGAATCCGTTTGGAAGTACAGTGCCGCAGGCGCGGACCGAGCCCGCCGCTCAGGATACTGAGCGGATGAGCGATACCGCCTCACTGGTGTATTCGCATGACGGCGAGCCGGAAGAGGTTCAGCGGCGGGTGCATTTCGAGGATGAGGGTCGAGCAGGGAAAGTGAAGGGGATTCGGCGTTAGTCTGGGCAGGCATTGGTAATTTTTGTGGAATTTGCTTTAGACAAGAGATGTTCTCGTACCAGCATGGACCGAAGTCTGTGATGAGGCTTCTGAGTGAATGATCTGGTGTTCTTCTTCAATACCTGTTGAATGTGGTGTTGACTTGTAGCACATGGGGGATGCCATTGATCTTCTGTTCGTGAGGCTCCATTTTGCCCGCTCACTCGAGCTCATAGGCGGGAAATTTTGAAACTGGCAGCATTCCCCTAGACACAACCCATTCTCATCCGCCCTTCACTCGAAGAGCGGGCTGCAAATGGCGTTGCAGGCAAGGAGTCTTGTCCATATCCGAGTCAATCGAACCATCCATCGAGGGGGTTTTGCTTGCCTGGGCTCCTCGTCGTCGGCTTGGCATAGGCTCAGTCCAGTCCTGCGTCGGTCGTCCTACGTATCAGCATCTCAATACCGCATCACCACGATTCCAAGCCGTTGAGTTCCATGCCCATAATATTAACGTGAAAACAAACAACCCGAAAAAAAGACCACCGTCTGCAGTCGAAGTTTTGATCTTTATTTTCAGATCCGAGCTAGCTTGCCCATAAAGCCTTAATGTTCATCATGCCCTGGCCAACCCAACGATGCAGTATAACGGCAACGCGCAACTCCATTTGAGAGAGAATTTTCCCAGAAGCCACCACAGGGTTTTCGTAACATGATATCCTTTCCCTGCCGGCGCCTCAAATCTGTTTTCTTCCTCCCGCTTTCACCTCATCATTACCAGACTTCTCGGTGGGAAAAATCTAGTAGCGCTTGCCCTCGCGCAGAGTGTCGGCGTACTCCTCGAGCGGGGATCTGATGAGCTTGGTCTCCTTCCACAGGTTGGGGGTGAGGAAGCCGTAGGTGTTGGAGACGGCGACGAAGGTGGCCTTGAGGGTGTTCTCGAGGGTCTTGGTGGAACCGGCGGAGGAGGTGTAGGCGTCCTCGACACCAGCAAGCTGGAGGAGACGCTTGACGGCGGGGGAGGCGACGAGGCCGGTACCGCGGGGGGCGGGGATGAGCTGTGGGTGCGCGCATTAGTAACCAACTTCTGATTTTCCTTCTTTTCCGTCTTCCACCGAAAACCACGACGCAGCGAGCGGGATATACATACACGGACGGTGACGGAACCGCACTTGCCAGACTCCTTGGTGGGCAGGGAGTGGGGCAGACCGAGGTTGGTACCCCAGTATCCGCGACGGACGGGGATGACGCTCAGCTTGGCGATGATGATGGCGGCACGGATGGCGGTAGCGACTTCCTTGGAGGTCTTGATGCCGAGACCGACGTGGCCCTCGGAGTCACCGATAAGGACGATGGCCTTGAAGCGCGTGCGCTGACCGGCACGGGTCTGCTTCTGGACGGGCTTAATCTGCAATTGGGGAAAAGAAACCACAGGTTAGCATATTGTCCCTCTGTTTCCCTTTCTCAACTCAATTGCAACAAGAACAACCCCATCGTATCCGTAAACCTATGACGAATTGCAACCCCTTCCCCAAGATCTCCAATTGCGCATTGTCGGGCAAATAGTCGGTTTGCGATAATTTTCGATCTCGGGGGTTTGGAAGTAATTCGTCGTAGGTCTTTCGGTCTTCGGGATGTTGTTGTTGTTGTAGCAATTTTGTTGCGTGGTGTTGTGTGCGCGCACCTTCATGACCTCATCCTTGAGCTTGGGCAGGAAGAAGTCGACAATCTGGTACTCCTTGATGGGCAGGGAGTGCAGGTAGATCTCCTCCATGCTGTTGATCTTGCCGGCCTTCACGAGACGGCCGAGCTTGGTGACGGGCTGCCACTCCTTCTCCTCGCTCTTTCCGCCGCGGCGGCCGCGACCACGACCACGTCCACGGCCACGGTCACCACCGCGGGATCCGAAACCACCGCCACGGGGGGCGCTTGCACCACGGTCAGCCATAATTGTCGATGTGAGGTGAGGGGAGGGTTGCAGAGGAAAAGAAGTTGCTGCTGCGGTTAGTGGTGGTTGATGGGGGGGAAGTTATTTCGAGATTCGTTCACCCACGACTTTTTTTGCGGGGGTCTGTGGTGGCTGTCAGGGCCGGACTAGGACATTATTTTTGCAGTTGTGCACCGGCCTTTTTCGGAAGGCGGGCTTTGGCGAGCCCTAACGGACCTGAGGAGGAAAGAGGTGGCCTGAGCTCCGAGGCAGACTTTTCGAGGTGCTCGGTGAGCAAAGTGGGGGTTCTGGGTTCCGCGGGATAGCTCACCGAGACAGACCGAAATCATATCATCCGGCTCCACTATTGGCGCATGGTGGGTGAAATTCCCCAAAGTCGCAGACTCAATGCGCTCCAACCACACTCCACTGATAAACCAGGGTCGATCAATGCCTTGGGTAAACAAACCGTGACCCAAACCGAACCCCGCGCAGTCGCAATTTCATGTGAGTCACTGTCCAGTTCATGTTGCAGTCGTCGTCGCGGCGCAAAAGCTCCCAAATGCAATGTCCCAGGGTTGTCATCATTATCGTGGGCCGCCTATGTACACCAGCCTTTGTCACCGCCGATCCCCGCCTTCATTGCTTGTGCTCTCTTCCAAACGACGAAAAATTTGGGCTTACGAACCTCCCCCATGCGCAATGCAAACTCCATGAGCTGTGAGCCGGATATCGTACATGAGAAAAACTAGAAAAACCAGAAGTGGGGTTGGGAGGGTATCGCAACTAGAAGCAACTTGCGCTGCAAAGCCACCAGGTGTGTGTGCGGGGGTAGAGTTATTTGTTTAAGCTGAAATAGTCGTATGATATACTCGTAGATGTGGAGTTGAGGGTTTGAATATGGACTTATTAGCAGTGCGGTTCTCTCCCATTCTTTTACTCGTCCTTCCGGATGAGCGAGTCGGAGGGCTTGACCCGTTGCGCCCATTCGCTATGCATATGTTAGTTGGTGAGACGATTTCTCTGATGGTGAATAAACTCACGTCCAGCTTCCGTCGTATACTCTGCGCTTCTCAGGGGAACCCCATCCGGCCTCCTCCATGGCAGTCTCAATGACACAGGCAGTCACGCCGGTGCCGCAGCTCGAGACGATGGGCTTCTCAGGGTTGACGCCCTTCTCCTTGAAGATCTGCTTCAGCTTCTCGGCCGGGTAGAAGGCCTTGGTCTCGGGATCCAGGACGGCGTTGAAGGGGATGTTGATCGAGCCGGGCATGTGGCCTGACGACAGTCCCTCTCGCGGCTCGGGGTCCTTTCCGGTGAAACGCCCCGGCGACCGCGCATCGATAACCTGCACGCCCTCGGCGCCCTCCTTGTTGTGATCCAGCGCAATCTCGCGCACCTCCTCGAACTCGGCGACCTTGCTCTCGTCCAGCTTGGGGATCGGGTAGGGACAGCACTCGACGCTGTACAGCTCGCCGGACTCGGTGGGCAGCTCCTGGTCAACCCACAGCTTGAAGTTGTTGAGGAGGTGGACCTTGGGGTGGCCGAAGATCTTGAGGGTCCAGCCGACGCGCGGGGCGCTGAAGATGCCGAGCTCCTTGCTGTCGTAGACGACGACGGTGTCCTCCTTGCGGATGCCGAGCTCGCTCATGGCGGCGGCAAAGTCCTTTGCGGAGGGCAGCATGTGGGGGTAGGGGCTGCGGCGGTCGATGACCTTGTCGAGGTCGAAGAAGCGCGCCTTGGGGATGCGCTGCTGGCGGAAGACCTCGATGCCGGTGCGGCCGTCATTGGGCAGGAACCAGGAGGCGCAGAGGGGGATGACGCGGGGCTCCGGGCTAATCTTGGAGGGCGGGTTCTTCTTGAGGGCCTCGTCGAGCTCCTTGGGTGTGACGAGATAGGAGGAGAAGGAGCGGCGCAGGGCGAAGGCGGCGAGGGGGCGGGCGCATTGCCATTGCGGCAGCTTCGCGGCGGTGCGCGACGACCGGAAGATGGCGACGATGGCCATCGTGTGTGTGTGTGTGTGTGTGTGTGGTGTGTGGTGGTTTTCCTGCTCTAAGGAGTTCTGAATCACCTGGGTTGGGTGGTGAGCGATGTCAGATGGAGGTCGGTCGGGAGAGGACGGGACGGACGACGACGATGACTGCGGCGGCGGACGGGGGATCGGGTCGTTTATCGGTCGATGACAACGGCAGCAGGGCGGGCAGCCCGGAACGCAGGGCCCTCAGAGGGTGGCAGGAGAGAGGGAAGAAAAATCACGAAGGCCAAAGCCGCAGAGGCATTGCATGTGGTTGGTTTGCGTGCGGGGTTCGGAGAGGGGAAGCTACGAATGAGGCTTGACCTTTTTTTTCTAAGGCGGTTGGCAGTAGTGAAAGACGTAAGTGGAGGAATTTGCGGTGGTGGGTGATGGTGGTGTTGTTTGAGCGGGAGGCCGGTGACCGGTGGTGGGCAAGTTTTTTGGAGAAGGGCGACCGGCGGCTGGTGTCGTTATGAACGTCGACCAGTTGGCAACAAAGATGGGAGTCGCAATGGAAAGCGGGAGACAGCGACTGTCCGGTAAAATCTGAGTGACCACCACCTACAAAGGTAGCGCCAACTGGTTGGTTCCAGTTTCCATCGCGCCTCCTCCGCGGGCAATCATTGGGCGGGTCCAATCCAGTTCAGCGTCAATGGGAACCCATCAATGGGACTTTACACGACGTGGACAGCCCAGGGCATGTTCCCTGGCTGCGCCTGCCCTCTGAACTTCTCAAGAGATAAGCGGAAGGTGGTCGGGGTCCGCTTCGGTGACTGGCCGGCGCCTTGAGCGTCCGTCGTTGGCTGACAATGGCCACTGCCAGACT